GTTTGGCTTTACTGAATCATTCTGGCTGATTCTGCCCCAGAGAAATCACCTACGCCTTAGTCTATCATATGGAACAGACATCAGTGGAGCAAGAAATGAATCTTACAACCAATTTAAGCTAATGAGAAAAGAAAATTCGCTCAAGCACCTTTATATGCTGTGCATATAATCAAGACATATACACTGGATAAATCAGAGGAAGACTGATAATTGTTGATTAAGCTATGGTTTCAATTATTTAGTTCTAGATGATGTCACAACATTATATAAAAGAACTATAAAGGATTTTGTAATAGCGATGAGAATGACAATGATAAGATGCGGTTTATTAACGACGACCGGCTAATTTAAAGCAGAAATTTACGGAAGCTAATGACAGTTTAAAGATTAGCGAGTTTAAATAAAAAATAGAAAAAAATGCGTAAGGAGTATCATTATAATATTCAGTGGTAATAAAATGTCACAAAAGTTTGAGAACGAAAACAAGTATATCAACAATTTCACAAAAGTAATAAGATAATACAAAATGGTGATGAGAGAGACTAATGTGGCATGATAATATAGTAATATTAGCTATGTCTAATCATCATTGCTGAATTTTACATTAAGAAGAGACAGATAGAACAGGAGCGACTGAGCATAGATTGAGGTCTCTACTTCCAACCAGATGGCAATAAGACAGACAGATTGAAGACTATCATGAGCTATAGCAAAATTGATAGCTCTCTTAGCTTTTCTTGGCACCACACAAAATCTTCCAGAGTGTTTTGTACGACAAGTTCTCCAAGAAGTAATAATGGTTAGTATCCATGTTGAGATAGAAAGATGGAATTGCACTCTTATGGCAAGCGAAAATGAATAAATGCTATATACCAACATGAATGTTTGGTATGCCGTATTCGGAAAATGAAACGGAAAAAATAATAGTAACAAGACTAAACCCAGAGAACTACCTCAGATCTTCTACTGCAGCCTGGGCGTTACCTCTGAACCGACCTTTGTTGCTGAGCATCGACTGGAGCAAGGCTGACTTGAACTTGGGTGCCTCCACTTGTGAAGCAGTGATTCCACTTCCTCCACCACTGGAAGCCATCAGAGCAGTTGAGGAAAATGTGGTCGTCAGCGCTGTTGCTAATAATATGAAGGGGACAGGGGGACAGAATACGATCAAAAATGAAAACATCTGTGTGTAAATGTAAACTGAGTGTTGGAAAACGAATCTAGTGGCCAAAGTAGACCAAGCAAAGAGCGAGCTCAAATGCACTGCAAATGAGTCTAGTAGATAAATCAGGGTGGGTCAGTAATTAGCTATGTACTGGGATTAAAATGCATAAACTCATTAATCTTGGAGGCGTAATAGGAATAGCTTAAAACTTCAGTCTTTATTGGGCCATTGGATTACTAGTCAGTGAAAGTTTATCTGTTTCATGAAAAGTAACTAATATTAGCTGCTAAATGAAATAGTAAGATGGTTGTTGATACTGCTTATTCACCCAGTTTCCAAATTTCCCTCAGTTTTAAATATCAAACAAGACATTTTAAAACGATGTAAATATACTTTTGAAGATATGAAGACGAAGATGTTGTGGCGTCTGGTATGGTCACGCTTCTATAAATATGCTTTTGTTCCAAATTTAAGTATGCTCAGAGGTAAGTTTGAGTCAAAATACTAGGAGGAGATTTGCGGCAGGCACAAATGGCTAAGCCGAAAATAAAAGCATGCATATTTTTCATCATGTATTCCTAAAGTCAATGAATGAACTAGCCGGATTTGGAATGGCTGATCGAAATACTGTTGCATTTTATTGCCAGATTATCCCGTTTACCAGAAAGGAAGTTGCATCTTTTCACTAAACGGTAGCATTGCAAAGAAACAAACGTCCCAGTTTGCCGAATAAAGGATTCATATAAAAGATTTGAAGAGCCTGTTACCATAACATAAACACCCAAGTTAGTAGAAAAATTATAATTAAAGCTTAAACAGATATTTTTGGAGATGAAGCTTCCGCGAAGCATGCTTTTTGTGATTCTCGTAGAACTCATCTATATAGCATGGTACAAAAAGATATTTATTCAATATTAGGGATAGAGACAGAATAGGCGAAA